GGCATCCGTGTAAGTCTCGAATGTACCTTTGAGTTCACTCAAATCTCTCCATGGTTTGAACAGAAGAAGCAGCGAGTAAAAGTATTTTTCGGGCTCAGTTTTTATATTAAATCGATAATGGTTAATTAAATAACCCTTTTTTCGTTTTTTTTAAAAATAAACCCGATGCCAGTTTGTAACACTTGACTTCGTCATTATTTGACATCTGTTTCGTAATTTCCCAGAATCTGGCAAAATCGTACAAATTCAATGATTCTAATTCCTGAGGTCTATTTGGATAGTAATCATCGATGAGTGACGAACAGTAAATATTCGTAGAATTTTCATCGAGAGCTTAAATTTCATTAAATGTTTTAACTTTTCTATTTCTCACCTCATTAACATCGATCCATTTGACCATGGTATCATTATCCGTACCGTACAAGGGATTCCCTAATAGTGTATCCGCAGCTTCTAAAGCACCGCATTCTCTGTTATTTAATGAACGCATTGCAAAATTCCACAGTTTCGATGCCAAGGACTTATTCGAATCTATCACTTCAAAGTCTGTATTGCATTTTTCCGACTTTGTCGTGTATTTTGTTAAATATGAGTTTAAAAACTCTGATTTTTCTCTAATAAATTGTATGTCCATATTTCCCTCCCAGGCTAATTTGATAGACGGATTATAATCATTTATAAACCTTTCCGACTCCTTGCGAGGAAGATCGTACAATCTGCTCTTACTGCGTAAATTTTTTCTACCGACTATCGAAGTGATAACGTCTCTTAAAACGAAATTCTCAGTAACTGGCCGAGGAAAATCGAACCGACACTTTCTGTATATATTAGTTTCCGTTTTTTTCGTACGCATGCAATACGAGTTATGTTTATGATTCTGATCACTTATTACCGTATCGTACAACGTTGGCGAAACATTTTCATCTGGAATTTCACACGTTACGTATTTTTGAATAAACGTAGCAACTTCTTCATCCGGCGATTTTCCTAATACTGGAGCATCTTTTATCCAAATCATACAATGCATGTGCTGGATACTTCTACGTTGATATTCCAGTCGCCAGAAGTAATGAATAACCTTTCCTATTGGATTATCGGACAAACAAATAAAATCAATCATGGCTTTGAATTTTATGCACATGAATCTAGAAGTACTTACAGGATCGTATGCGATTAGTTCGCTGATGCCTAACTTCTCTTTATCGGGATTCATATCTCGTAAATATTCACCCAAATCGGACCATTTCCATTCACTAGGACTCAAAGTCAAAAACCACGTCGCTGGACCGTAATGCAAAGTCATGCATTTTACATTATTGGACGGTTGTCGCCAAAATTGATCCGTATTTCTCAATTTTGCGAAAATACTCATTAAATTCGATTCTAATTGGTAACCTTTCAATTCGTTCAAGTATCTACCAGCAGTGTATCTCTCTCGTGGGTTAGTAACCATCATCGTATAATAGATACCACTTTTCAACTGTCGGTAGTTAGCATCATTGAGAAGGAAGAACAGATACTGCAGATTCAACCTGAATCTACTATGTTTCGACATCAATCGTGTTCTAATAAATAAATATTCCGGCAATGCAAAGTTTCTATCTTCTCGTTGTCCATTGACACCATCAGGATATAAATCAGGGAAACACATGACATCCAGATATTTATAACGATTATCCATTGGAAAATCTTCAATTTTCACCATTTGATAAAGCTTCAATGCAGATTCGTTATCGATTCTTTTCGCGTGTATTGGGTATATTGTATACTGATCGTTAATATCCGAATGTTCAGTGATTTGTGTGAGAAAAGCCGTACGTTTTAAAACGGTTTGATCATTATTATTTTTGTTTTGCTGTACATTGTACAAATTCAATGCTGGTAATTCCTCAACCACCTCATTTATTTCGTCATTGTCGCTTTCCTCATCGACAATCCGATATTCTGTTTCCTGCAACTTATTCTTTAATAGATCATCAGATGACGCTGGAAGACGAATTTTGAATAATGAGGATTATTTTCTTTCAACCATTGTAAAGCCTTATACATTTTATTAATATCTACCAAATTTTCCCAAACCACTTTAGATTTCTTGGGTATACCTCGAACGAGAATGTGCAACTCGTGATTCAAATTTATAGGATCTTCCGGAGGACATACCTTATCCAATGTTTCTTGTAAAGGCAGAGGCAAATGAAATGTTCTACCTTTGCCTAAACAGAGTTCGATTATATAAGTTTCTTGATTTAAAATGTGCTATATTTAAATCATTTAATTATTTTTTTCGTTTAAGTACAATTAACAGCAAAAACTGCATATACGTAGGTATGTATTTGACCATACTGCCATTACTTGAAACAAATACATTATTCGATATTAACAAATTGGAACTCTGGAATTACGAGTAATTATTTTTCATTGTACAGACTAGGTTTAAATTTTTGAGGACCTTCTTTTGAACATGGCTTGACCTTTTCATTTTTATGATTTTTTGGAGATAGGGTGAGAGAGGACGAATGAGGGTAAGAGAAGACGAGATAGGCGAAAGAGGGTGAAAGAGAACGAAAAAGGGTGAGAAAGGACGTACGAGGGTGAAAGAGGTGAGAGAGGGTGAGAGAGGAGACGAAAGAGGGTGAAAGAGGACGAAAGAGGTCGAAAGAGGATGAGAGAGAACGAAAGAGGGTGAAAGAGGACGAAAGAGGGTGAGAGAGGACGAAAGAGTGTGAAAGAGGTCGAAAGAAGATGAGAGAGGGCGAAAGAGGGTGAGAAAAGAATGAAAGAGGTGAAAGAGGACGAAAGAGGGTAAAAGAGGGTGAGAAAGAATGAAAGAGGGTGAGAGAGGACGAAAGAGAATGAAAGAGGACGAAAGAGGGTGAAAGAAGACGAAAGAGGGTGAGAGGGAATGAAAGAGGGTGAAAGAAGAGACGAAACAGGGTGAAAGAGGGTGAGAGAGAATGAAAGAGGGTGAGGAGAGGACGAAAGAGGGTGAGAGAGAATGAAAGAGGGTGAAAGAGGACGAAAGAGGGTGAAAGAAGAGGACGAAAGAGGTGAGAGGGAATGAAAGAGGGTGAAAGAGGACGACGAAAGAGGGTGAGGTAGGACGAAAGAGGGTGAAAGAGGACGAAGGAGGTGAGAGGGAATAAAAGAGGGTGAAAGAGGATGAGAGAGAATGAGAAAGAGAGTGAAAGAGGACGAAAGAGGGTGAGAGAGAGGGCGAAGAGGGAAAGAGGGTGAAGAAAAGAGGGTGAGAGAGGACGAAAGAGGGTGAAAAAGGCGAAAGAGGGGTGGGAGTTGGGGTGGGAGTGGGGGTGGGAGTGGGGGTGGGTGGGGTGGGGTGGGTGGGGGCGGGATGTTGGAGGGAAAGGAGTGGGTGGAAGTTGAGGGAGGTGTGAGTGAAAGGTGAGAAGAGATTTATACGCGGACAGAGAAGAAGAAGAAGAAGAAAAAGAAGAAGAAGAAGAAGAAGAAGAAGACGACGTTTCTTAATTTTTCATGAAAAACGTCACTTTTTGACCGCTTGTATCTCCGGAACGGCTTGACCGATTTTATTTTTCTTGGCTCAAATTACTCGTGGCGATGCCGCCTTTCAGGTTATGTTACGTGCAATTCAAAATTTTTTATATTTTAGTAGTTCTACACCCCCAAAAAATGGACTTTGATGGTGCAGGATAAGGAGACTTGTAGTGTCTTTTAAGGTCTTTTAGGGTTTGAACATGGCCGGAGACACTACCGCGTCTCCTGATCAAAAAATGAATATTTTAAGAAAAATTTCACAGTTCATGTAAGATTATGTAAAATTAAAATATAAAATATTTTATAATCTATATATTCACTTTTTAATCATCCTACTCTTTTATAACTTCTTATACAGAATATTACAAGGAATCAATTTATAAAATAATAAAAATATATGATGATCTTATTTAAAAAATTCAAGATGTTTTTACTTTGACCTTGGCAACGTCATCCAAGATCAAAGTGATAAGATTTGTAAATCGATACTTTAAACCCTAATTTTGAAAATAGATATTTTCTATATCTTCCCCTATCTCTAATCGTTTTTGAAAAAAACGTGGTGGACTTTTTATCAGACCTACACTATCAGGTCTACACCAATATTTCGAAAAATATAGAAAATACGAAAAAAATGTTTTATACAAAAGTTTTATGACTTTGAGGGAGACAGACAGGATATCATTGGTTTGATCTTGCATAATCGTTTGAATCTTACGTGAAGGTCACTTTCAATTTCTTAAATGGAAACCCTTATTTTTTAATGCATATTCTTGTAGTTGCTTATTTCGAGAGCTTTCCAAAACACTATAATAAAATACTTTTCTCTTAAGTACTTTTTGAGATATAAAGCTTAAAGTTTACAATTTTTTAACATAAAACATAAAATATCTTGTAAAATATTCAGTTTTCCGTAATCCCTACTTTAATACTTTTATGCACGGAATAATGAGACCAATTAATTGATATAAAGAAAACAAATAAGTATTTAAAAAAAATGTAAGTAATTTGCCATTGCAACTGCACACTTTTTTTTAATGCAACTATGTATTTTTTTACACTAATTGATTGGTTTCATTATTCTATGCATAAAAGTATTAAAGTAAAATTGCTGAAAACTGAATGTTTCACAAGATATTTTGTATTTTATGTAACTCAAGAAATATTTAAGAGAAAAATATTTTATTATATTGTTTTGGAAAGCTTTCGAGATAAACTACAAGAATAAGTATTCAAAAATAGAAGCTTCCATTTAAAAAATAGAAGTTGATCTTCATGTGACCTTCAAACAATTATCCAAAATCAAACTAATGATACCATTTTTCGTTTCCCTTGAAGTTATAAAACTTTGGTATAAAACATTTTTTTGTATTTTCAATATTTTTCGAAATATTAAATAGTATTATAAAAAATGAATAAAAATAACAAGAATAATAATAAACAATTCATGAGTATGAGAAGGCATAAGATTGAATTGTAATTTACCGACTCTTGATGATGTATTCATTACATCACAAAACTCCACAGCTCCGGTTCGATTAAATTGGTTCGTTCCATATTATATTTCCCCAAATTGGAGATTGTTGTATTACTCTGGATCTGTAGCTCGTAGGGCACATTGCCGTTATTATATGAAATAGGAGTACGAGCCTGCACTCCGTCTAAATGAATAATCTATAATATAAATTTTATATTAATTAAAAATATACAAATAATTAACTTATTGAATTAAAATCAAATTTAAAAAATTTCTTAAATAAATAACATACGTGTATATATATATATATATATATATATTTATTTATTTTGTATGTTCCTTTTGTATGTTTCTTTTGTAAAAAATTCGAAAATTTATATTATTTAAAAAATTCAAAATTTTATGAAAAATGATCACCGATCTTCATTAAATTTAATAGCAACCATTCTTTATTCTTTAATGATACTCTATTCAAGTAAAAGAATTTACCTCGATATGTCAAAATTTATAGAAGTTAGAACAATCACAAACATTTATCGAAAAATTAAAATTGCATTAAGATTTAAAATACTATATAAATTTTTATAAAAATGGTAATAAATAAAAGTATTGTACTATTTTATTTGTATGCCAAAGTGGAGTGCTGTAGCTCAAACAATTCTTGAAACGTTTAAATTTTCGGAAAAGTGAGTCGGCAGACATATATACATACATACACACACATAGATATTTTTAATGTGATTTTTTGATGGTTTGGAAAATTCTGAACACATTGATCTGAAAGATTTTTTCACGAAAACTAAGTTTCCTCTATGAGAAAGCAAAAAGAGAAAACAAATACTCACGTGGTTTAATTTTACATGTGGTTCTACGGGTGTAATATCGTCATTCCACACGACAACTTGTACTCGCCTCCCTTCGCCATTATTAATATAAAATTTAAAAACTTTATATTGTTTCTTGTCGCCAACATAACGTGAGGCTTCAATACCGTCTACAAAGCCTACTACCTCACTACAAAAATAAAGAAATTAAAAAGTATAAAGAAAGTAAAGAGAAATTAAAGTAGTAAAAAATTTAAAAAATTAAAAAATAAAAATAAAAAATTTTACATATTATATAATATGTAAATAATTATTTAATACTCTTCCAGTATTTTTATATATTTTTTAATAGAAAAATATATTAAAAAAATAAATTATATTTATATATTATATATGTGTGTAACGTATACTTTTTAGAAAGTATGAAAAATGGAGAATTTCCTTAGATTCAACTCAAAAAAATGCCAAACTGTCTTTTAATAAAACCATAGAAATTATGTTTCAATTAAATTTTTAATTAAATTAAATTATAAAATATTCTTTTAAATTTAAATTTAAAGATATAAGACAGGCAGTAAGAGCCAACTCGCGGATGACAGTGCGTTATCCTAACGAAACTAAATTTTTCGTTAGGATTAAGTATCTGTGCACAAGGCACCAAATTTTACTTGGTCACGGCCAAGATTTAAAATATGAAATAATCTCATATTTGAGATTTAATTTCAATATCCCTTTCACCCCCCTACGGAAATAAGTAAATGCAAGAGAAAAATATAGATCCGAAAGTCGCTGAATCGGGAATCGAACCCGAGACCTTTCGCTTGCCGGGCGACTGCTCTTCCAACTGAGCCTTGGCTAAATCTTGGCCGTGACCAAGTAAAATTTGGTGCCTTGTGCACAGATACTTAATCCTAACGAAAAATTTAGTTTCGTTAGGATAACGCACTGTCATCCGCGAGTTGGCTCTTACTGCCTGTCTTATATCTTTAAATTTATATTTATATTACAGAGCCTTGTTAAAACTCTTAACTTTTAAATTTAATTATTAGAAATTAAACTATTTGATTTTATATATAAACGACCACATCAAAACACATTTTAACTCATGGACAATAAAAAAGAAAGAAATTCGAATGGAAAAAAACACTACATTAGAAATTGAAGAAAAAAGCGACTGAAAAATCAGACACAAGTTAGTGTCGAAACGTCTCGCGTATTTTATTTTATATTTATATTATTCCATCATTGATTTTAATATCTCACATTTATTGTAATTATTGCATATATTATCATGATATAAGAATATAATTTTTTATAAAATCAAATAATTAAATTTTAGAATAATTAAATTTAAAAGTATATATATAAGAATATTTTAGAATATAAGTTGTAAAAAAGTAATGAAATACATGTAAGAAAATGTAGCACACACGCGCAAATAACAATAAAATATAAAAAATATAAAATTTACAATAAAAAATTACAATAGAAAAGAGTTTTTTACATAACATTATAAAATGCAATTTACAATGCAAAATATATTAATATTAAATTAATAATAAAAACAATAAAAATATTAACAAAATATAAAATCAAGTAAAAGACAAAAGAATTTGAAATAATTTGTATTTTGGAATTTTTTTTTGTCTTTTTATTATTCTACAACAGAATTTGATATAATTTGCATATTTCGATCGATTTTTGAAAATTACTGCCTACCTCTTACATCTTGACGTTTTAACAACAAATCATCTAACAGCTGTAACTAAGCACGCAGCGTTCTGTCTCAGATACGACGCATTTATGTAACACAACGTGATTTCATATCCCCCGTATCCTCAAGGTATTTTTAATCTATTGCATATAATTTAATATTTTAGGATTATTATATCGTAAATGTAATTATTAATTAAGAATTAAAATTTTGTTACTGATTAAACTATTTAAAAAGAAAGATTTTAAAGATCGCATTTAAAAACATTGATATTTGGCAGTCACGGGAGATACAGAATCACGTCGTGTTAGAGATGCGTACCTGAGACAGAGCGCCACGTGCTTAGTTAGGCTGTTAAACAGTTCGTTGCTAAGACGTTAAGACGTAAAGGGAAGGCGGTAACGGTGACTCTCAAAAATTAATCAATATATGCAAATTGTGCCAAGCTCTGTTTTGTATAAAAATGTTAAAATGCATAAAAATATTAAAATAATTATCTGTTGAAATATTTTATATGTTAAACAATCCTTAACAGTACAATTCTAAAAATGAAGCGATATAAATAATTAACAATTTGAACATAAATTAAACAGTTAATTATCATAAACTATTTCTGTCTCTGTATATTAATTGTAAAATAAATTGTAAAATATTTCATATAATAATGATTTTCTTTATAATTTAATCTTTTTTATACGTAAAAGATGATAAGAATTACATAAAAATGTGTTTTTAATTAGAAATAATTAAATCAAAATTTAATACTCACACAGTTGAATCGAAAACTTGAATATTATTTAAAACTTCATTTGAAGTTAAAACTTCCATCCCGTTTAATTCTTTTACTTTTTTTCTAAGATCTTCCTGCATTATTTCTAATAATTCTTTCTTCTTCGATATTGCGATGTTACTTGTGAAAACGTCTGGTTGCTACTAATGAAAATCAGTAATTAATGTTGACCTGTAATTAAGATAATTAAATTAATCTGTATGATTATAGAACATTACAATAAAGCTGATAATAAAACTTTTAATTTATTTATATTTTATAATATAAATAAATAATATTAATATATGTATATAAATAAATTGTAATATATATATACATATAAAAAAATATATAAAAAATAATATATAATATATAATATAAATATATAATATATAATATAATAATATATATAATATATAATATAAATTAAAAGTAAATAAGTTATAAATAAATTTTGGTTATGTCATTAATATAACAGAATTTAAATAGCGTTATATGATGTATATATATATATATATATATTTAATGTGTGAGTATGTAACACATTTTATATATAAAAATATTATTATACTTACCGCGTATCTTTCGAAGTTTGTCTTAAAAATTCTTCTTCGTAATTATTTTCTCTTATTTTATTTTTGCATTGCACTGTTAATATAACCTTCGCGATGTCAAATGACAAATAGTAAATACTTAAATAACACGAAGCATGTAACACCGTAAAAACCAATCAGAGCGACGGAAAAGAGGCAACAATACACTTCGAGACTTTCGAGAGGCCTTCGATACATTCGAGAATCGACTTAACATGCCTTTTTTAAAGAAGGAAAAATCATCGCTGCTTACTTCATACATTACTAAATATATGAATAAAGCAGCAAAATGTGAGTTGTCTGATTCTATTCTTAATACTGAAAATAATAATAATAATAATAATAATAATAATAAGAAATTAGTAAGTCGTCTTTGAAATATAAATATGCGATTTGTGAATAATAGAGAATGTGGAGCTCTTGAAGCTGCTGATACATTGTTAGGTATTTCTTTGTATAGAACTAATCGAAATACAACTATTAGATGGTTAGATGTTAATCAAATACGACGTAAAAGATTAAAAAATTATAAGGGAATTGAAGCTCTTGATCCTGAATCTACAGATATATTTTATCCGTCCTTAATAGATGATCTTTATCCACATAGACCAAATAAATTAAAAAATATATCTCTTTATGAATTTGCACAGTGGTATGATGTCTCAAAGATCAAACCAAAAAATAAGTATGTTGAATATTATAAAATAGATGATGGTAAATATCTTAAACGACGACAACGTGGATATCTTATTGATCATTTTAGATATAATGTTAATACACAGCCGGAAAATTATTTCTTTGCGTTATTACTTCTGTTGAAACCATGGCGAAAATTAAACGATCTTAAAAACGGAGATACATACGCCGAATCGTTTTAGAAAGAAAAATTGCATCTTGTACAAGCGTTACTATATCATGAAAAATTAGAAGAATTGCAAAAAGCATTTGAAACTGCAAAACAGTTAGTTCAGCAGTGCCTAGATGACAATTTACAAAAACAACAGTCTCAGGATGATCCTGAAAATCCGATAGGTGTTCAAAATATAGGAGCTGGTGAAGCAATGCAAGATTTTAAGGATCTTGGTGATAAAGCGGTTCGAGAAATCGACATATCTGAAATGATAGCAAAATTAAATACGGATCAAAAACGTGTGTTCGATAAAGTTATCAATACTGTAGAGTCAGATGAATCAATATTGCGATTATATGTTAGCGGAGAAGGTGGTACTGGAAAAAGTTTCTTAATCAAGACTATTAAATGCTGGATAAAACAAAATCTCAACAAAGATACTGCTGTAACAGCACCTACTGGTATAGCAGCATTTAATATAGATGGTTTGACAATTCATAGATTGCTTCAATTACCCGTTGAACATGGTCAAACTCCTAAGTATAAACAACTATCTGATCATGTATTGAAAGTTTTACGAGAACAGCTTAATAATGTTATTCTTTTTATAATTGATGAAGTGTCAATGATATCTAATTTGATTGACTTTAATGTATATAAATCTTCGATTGTCTCAAATATTTGACACTAGTGATTGCGATAATGGTTGGTTTGGTCGAAAGCACATTCTTTTATTCGGAGATTTGCTTCAACTACCTCCCGTACACGATGATCCTATTTTTAAATATTTATTGAATGAAAAAGTTGCTAAATATCTTGGTTCCATAAATGCGGTTAATTTATGGACTACATTATTTGAGTATGATGAATTGATAATTAATATGCGTCAGCAAGGAGATAACACTTATCGTGAGTTATTGTTAAGAATTCGTATCGGTTTATTAACAAAATCTGATGGTAAGATTCTCAAAAATAAAAAAATTAGTTTGATTCCTTCGAATCTAGACTGAACGAGTTATGTAATTTTATTAACAATCTACCATCGGACATCGTTTGTTTACTGCCCACTTGTCATATGTGTGATGTTCTCAGTGATGCAATGTTAAGTCGCATTACTTCTACAGAAATAATATTAGTTGCTGAAGATACAATTGAATGTATTCCATATCTAAAAAAAAAAGTATTAAAAGTATTATCAAATAATGATGATGATAATTCAAAAACAGCTGGGCTTTCGAAAAAAATCATAATTAAAATTGGAGCAAAAATTATGATACGGCGTAATGTTGATGTTAGTTTGGGTCTTGTAAATGATACAATTGCTAAAGTAATTTCAATTGTACGAGATAATAATGGTCAGGTAGAAAAAATTAAACTTCTTTTATCATCAGGTTTAGAATATTTCATTAAAAGAGTAAGTGTTAAATTTGAAGTAGTAGATAGAGCGTACGTTGTCAGAAAACAATTCCTAATATGTTTGAGTTACGGCATCATTATACATAAAAGCCAAGGATTGAGTTTGCAAAATGCTATTATAGATATTGGCAATTCTGTGTTTAATTGTGGCCAAACTTATGTGTGTTGCATTATCGCGATTAATATCTCTAGAAGGATTACATTTAATTAACTTCGATCCTTCATCAGTAAAAGCTAATGAAGATACAATTATTGAATATAATTATCTAAAACAAATACATAAACCGAAAGCAGAAATTATTGCTATGTCAAACGAACAATATCACAAAGTAAAAGATGTCTCATGGGTGTTACGAAAAGTAATAGCTTCTGTTCAAAAATCATGTTTAGACGAAAATACTCGAAAAAGTACAGCTTGGGTCATACATGGTTTCCAAAATACAGGCAAGGTTTCATGCTATGCAAATGCAGTATTACAGTGTTTATTGAATTTAAATGCCATTAGGCAGCAATTGTCCAATTGTGATAAATCAGATATTTTACGTATGTTAATGCATCGATATGAAAATGGAATATATAATTTAAATACATATGCAATACGACAATGTTTAGGAGAATATTTTTCAAGTCCTATAAAACAAAATGCATCTGATTTTTTTATAGCCTTTTGTGAAAAATATATAAAAAGTTTAGTGAGGCATCAAATAACTTCGATTAGACGATGTAAAACTTGTGATAATACAAAAACTACTATTAATAATAATATTATTATTTCTATTTCTATTCATAATTTAAAGAGAAGAAAACTTTTAATCTTAATGAATTATTAAATATAACGTTTTCACATTGGTATCAGTCGCTTAATGAGACGTGTGAATATTATACTGGAAATGATATAATATTCAAAAAAGAAATAATATTAACAAAAGAAATAGTTGTTATTCGAGTAATATTTTTTTCATCATAGGATAATAAATTAACACAAGCAACACACAACTTTAATTTGAGTGCTATTCCAACAACTAAAGTATTAATAGATGGATAGTTATTTGGGGTATTTAATGCGCGCGTGCTTGTTCGGTAATTAATGTCTTGCCAATATCGCGAATCGGGAGAGGATATTTTAGACGGAATAATAATTTGTACAGTAGCATTTTACTGCGTTTATTCGAGTCACACAAAATATATAAACTCTTTACTCTCCACCGAGGAAAACCGTGTATCGCGAACGCGAGTCAAATTCTATCTGCCTCTTTGAGGCCGCGCATTGTCTCGTTTCTCTCGATCATTCCACGACCTTATTTTTATTTTTAGGTAATTAGACTATATATTATTCTCAGGTACTTTCGCTTTTTATTATGTACGGAAATCGACATTTACTTTCGTCATGTTAGACGCTTATTTGTTTATTTATTATTTTGTGTCACCGGTCGCGATATTCTTAACACTCGTCGCTTGTAATATATTTTTTTTTCGTATGCATTTTACTTTATATATATTTTCATTTCGTAATATTTTATATGCTTGTGGCATTTATCGCCACAGTTATATAAAGTCATGAATACTATATTTTACTATGGTTCAAATATTGACAAAGGTCATTATATAAGCATGTGTAGAGAAGGAACATCTAATATTTGGATTGAAGTTAATGATGCTCAAGTTAAAAAAAGGCAGTGGCCTAGAGGTGCTAAAGATGCTTATTTACTATTTTTACAGAAAATGTAGTAAATAATAAATATCAAATGTTATAAAACAGAGAAAAAATTCCTTATTAAAATATATTTACATGTTTAACTTGATTAATACTTAATCATTTAATAATTGTATTTCGATCAATTTTATGCAAAAAAAGGTGTTATGTATCATTCAACAATTTCATGAACAATGCTTAAAATATTCTGTACTATTTATATATAAAAAATTTTAATGGGAAAGAAAAAGAGAAAGAGATTATCAATTGTATATTTCTATTATTAAATAGAATATTTTTATTATTAAAAATAAAAGCTTGTAACTCACTCTTTTCCTGTTTTACTTATTCAAACATGAATTAGGTAAGCAGAGCAATGATTATTTTATTACTAAATTTAGAAATATTGATTGAGTGAAAAAATAATTAACTTCTAATGACATCATTATTTGTTTGTATTTGTCTAGTAAGAATAGCAAAGAAGTTTGAAGTCTGGTTGTCTAACAA